GTGGCTATGTCCTTAATTCCCCTTGCAATACAGTCAGAGAGTCACAAGGCACAGAAGCAGACCCTTCGGTTCAACCAGTCCATGCCAACCGTAAACTCAAACTACACTAGCCCTACCTGCCTGCACTTAGCCTACATCCCTCCAAACATTTCTTACTCATGTACTTATCAAAATGTCTCTTAAATGCTATACCGGTATCCACACTTCTTTTGGAAGTTCATTCCACAAACAAACCATTCTGTGTGTAAAAGAAATTGCCTCTCTCGTCTTTCTTAAATCTTTTTCCACTCACCTTAAAAAATGCCCCCTCATCTTGAAATCCCTCACCCGAGGGAAAAGACACCTGCCATTCTCCTTATCTATACCCCTCATGATGTTATAAACCTCTATAAGGTCACCTCTCAACCTCCTACGCACTAGTGTAAAAAGTCCCAACCTGTCCAGCCTCTCCTTATAACTCAAACCTTCCAATCACAGCAACATCCTAGTAAATCTCTCTGAACCCTCTCCAGCTTAATAATATCTTCCCTATAACAGGCAGACCAGAGTTGGACACAGTACTCCAGACTCACCAACATCTTGGACAAGCTCAACATAATGTCCCAATTCCTATATTCAAAATGTCTAACAATGAAGGCAGGCATGCTAAATGCCTTCTTAACCTCCCTATCTGTATCTGTAACTTCAAAGAATTACATACCTGAACTCAAAGGTTCCTCTGCTCTACTAGCCTACCCAAGGCCCTACTTTTAATTGTCTAAGTCTTGCCTTTGTTTGTTTGACCACAATGCAATACCTCTCATTTATCCAAATTAAACTCCGTTTGCCACTCTTCAGCCCATTGATCCGATTGATTGATCAAGATCTTTTTGTAATCTAAGATAATCTTCTTCACTGTCCACTATACTACCAATCTTGTTGTCATCTGCAAATTTACTAATCACGCTTTCTATATCCTCACATAAATCATTTACATAAATGACAAACAAAAGTGGACCCAGCAATGATCCCTGTGGAACATCACTGGTCACAGGTCTTCAATCTGAAAAACAACCCTCCCTCACCACTCTGTCTCCTGCCGTTAACCAATTTGTATCCAATTGTCAAGCTCACCCTGTGATCAAACTTTACAAATTAGTCTACCATGTGGAACCTTGTCAAAGGCTTTACTAAAGCGCAAGTTAAAAAAAAATTAATCAAGTTTGTGAGGCATGATTTCCCTCATTCAAAATCATGCTATGTCTAATCATTCCTTGCCTCTCCAAATGCACACAAATAAACCATAGCACTTTATTAATTTTCCTGATTACTTGCTGCATCTGTATACTAACCTTCTTTCTTTCATGCATGAGGACACCCAAATTGCTCTGCATTTCAGAGCTCCACAATTTCTCACCATATCGATAATGCTTTCTTATTCTTTCTAACAAAATGGACAATTTCATACCTAACCACATACTACTGCATTTGCAGATCTTTGCCCAATCACTTAACCTATCTATACCCCTTTGTAGGCTCCTTCTTCCTCTTCACTACCCCTATCTGTTTTTATATTTTTGGCTAACTTAGCCAGACAGACACATCTGCGATTGGGGAGGATGAGATCAAGCAATTTTTTACCACCTGTTAGTTGCCTCATCACATGCTGCAGACCCAGTCTTGCAACTATGTCCTTTGGGATTCAGCCATTTTGTAGACTCATAGAAATCATAGAATTCCTACAGTGTGGAAACAGGCCCTTTGGCCCAAAAAGTCCATACCGACCCACAGAGTATCCCACCCAGACTCATCTCCCTATAAGCCACCTAATCTACACATCCCTGAACACTACAGGCAATTTAGCATGGCCAATCCACCTAGCCTGCACATCTTTGGACTGTGGGAGGAAACCGGAGCACCCGGAGGAAACTCACGCAGACATGGGGAGAATGTGCAAACTCCACACAGACAGTCACCTGAGGGTGGAATCGAACCGGGGTCCCTGGCACTGTGAGGCAGCAGTGCTAACCACTGAGCCACCGTGCCAGCCTAAACAATTTCTGTCCGTAGTGATGCCACTTTGGATGATGAATATTGAAGCCCCCACCCAGCATGCATTCTGTGCCTTTGCCACACTCAGTGCTTCCTCCAAGTAGTGTTCAACAAAGAGGAATACTGATTCATCAACCTGGAGGGTAGGGTGGTAGGTGGAAATCAGGTGGAAGTTTCCTTACACATGTTTGACCTGATGCCATGAAATTTTATACGGTTCAGAATCAATGCTGAAGATTTCCATGGCAACTTCTTCTCTGTATCCAACTGTGCTCTCACCTCCTGACGTACCTGGGGCGTTGTCTGTCAGGTAGGATTCCGTAGTGGTGATATCTGTAAGATTGTCTGTAATGTATGATTCTGTGAATATGACAATGTCAGGCTGTTGCTCGTCTAGTTTGTGGAACAGTACTTACAATTTTGGCACTAGACCCTGAGATGGAAAAGGAAGACTTTGCAAGGTTGATAAAGCTGTGCTCGCTATTTAGATTTCTGGTACCTAGTCTGATGCTAGGTGATTCTTCCTTTAGACTCTGCAACAGTTTGATAAAATTGAGCATGTTCTTATGCCATTGCAGAGGGCAATTAAGAGTCAACCCAATTGCTGTGGGTTTAAAATCACATGCAAACCCAGACAGGTGAAAAATACCACAGTGATTGGGTGATGGAAAAAAATACCTGTTCAGTTGTGTGTAACAGTACTTGTGAATATAATAAAAAGTAGATCAGGTCAGGTAAGGAGGGCAGATTTCTTCCCGTAAAGGACATCAGTGAACCAGACACATTTTTACGACACTTGACAGTAGTTAGTTGGATTATTAGATCAGTGACATCACCACTAGGCCACTATCTCCCTACTAATGATTTCTTTGTGGCAAACTCCATCTGATGAATAGCAGGCTTTGAAGTAGCACAACAGGATAGGCCCTTGCTAAATAGCTTCAGCCAACTTCCACATTTGGGCGTCAGTACAAACCCCACACACATACACACACACGCTGCACATTACTGAGGAGTACTTCTTCTGCAGTCTAAGTGGCAGAATAATCACCGTAAACTCAGCAAATTAAGAGGTGACAGCTCCAGGATTTGCATTTACTAAATAAATCAATTTGATCAGTTCCTGGGATTAGATGTGCTGAGTATATTGGGCCTATAGTTTGCGGACTTTAGAAGAAATGAGAGGTGATTGCTTGGCTGGAACTCTACTCATTGAGAATTTGATAAGAATTGCACATTTATTGCACTTAAATTTAAATTGTTAGGTCAATATGTTAGTCATCTTGAAGCAGGGGAATAGTGGTCAAAGGGCTTGCAAATTAAGAAGTTATCCCAATTCAGATCTTTAATAGTTTGGTAAAAAGTTGATAAAAGATTCTTTTTAAACTACCAGGAGATAGTGTGAACATTTTGTACTGTGCACTAACTTACACAAAGCCAATGGTTAGTGGCCATTACAAGTGTTCCTGGTCTTTAGCGTTTGCAGCTTGCCCAAAGAAATTGGAAGATATAAATGTCTGCCAAGTTTTGAGCAATGTATTTTACAGATGTCAAGGCCCTGGACACAGTACAGAAGGCGTTTCCTATGAAGCTAACAAGTCTATGAAACTAGGGCTCTTTCCATTAAAATTACGAAAGTTAAGAGAAGATTTGGTGTTAGTATTTAAAATTGAGATGTTTTTACAAGGGTCCCAATCCGAAACATCAACTTTTCTGCTCCTCTGATGCTGCCTGGCCTGCTGTGTTCCTCCAGCTCCACACTGTGTTATCTCTGACTCCAGCATTGGCAGTTCTTACTATCTCTAAAGAAAAAGCTATTTTCACAGTCCAGGTGATAACGACTAGAGGGCATAACAGTAAAAGCATTGCTAAAAAACCAAAAGGAAAAGCTGTAAGTTAGTTAATGTATGGGTAATGTGGAATGTTGGGGGTTGGTTTAGCTCAGTTGGTTTGCAAAGCACTGTGGTGCCAACTGCGTGGGTTCAATTCCCATCACCGGCTGAGGTTGCCAGGAAGAACTCTCCTTCTCAACCTCTCCCCTTGTCTAAGATATGGTGGTCCTCAGGTTAAATGACCTCCAGTCATATCCCTAACGAGACTGCAGCCGTATGATATGTTAAGACAATGGTGACTTATACACACTATGTGGAATGTTAGAAATAGCACTGGAAGAATACCCATAATGAATTGATATGGTTCTGAAATGTAAAACTTTAAAGGAGTCCGAAGAAGGTGGATAGCTTTTTCAGACAGCTGTCACAGTCATGACAGGATTTTACAGCTTCAAATGATCTGATTCTGTGTATTGACCGTTGGTTTTGAACTTGTTACTGTACACTTTTTATATCAATTATAATGCAAATAATAATGCAATTTCATGGTAACTTATACAATGATAACTAGGATTTGTGCAATCACAGTTGTCTTTGTACAGCATGTCCCAATGTAGAATTCTATCACCAGTTGTAAGTTTTACACTCTAAAGGTCAAAGGTCACAAAATTGATTACAACTAGGGCTGTATGCATTTATTCTATTCTTACTGTTCTTTTTGAGTCAGGCACAGAATTTAAGCCTCCTTAAATACTTAAATCCAAAGTTCCCCAAACTGTTATGTCACTCAACTTTAGTGGGGGAATCCATCTCAGATCACTATAGCACCTGCAGAAAAGAGGCAGAGCAGAAAACATGGAGACTCCTGAAGTTATCCACACTACAAACTGAGACACAAAGGGAATTAATTGTACAGTAAAGCAAATCAACCTCAAATCCTGTAATTATTTTTGTGGTGATTGTATAATTTACACAGTTAAATTGTACGCCATATGTTCAAGAGAAATATGAATGATAAGTACTTAATTCCCTTCTTGGGTTGGAGGCAGTCTGACAAGAGGGGAGGTTAGTTGGAACTGAGTTTGGAGCTTTTTTTTGTAAATGGTCCAACCTGAAAAAAAGTGGTTGAGGACTTACCGCCGGGCCATCGGCTGTAGTGTACCTGATGATGATCTGGAAGTTGCTGAGAGGTTTGATGGCAGCCGGCAGGGTTATCACTAGAGAGGAGCCATAGTCGGTGAAAGGGTCGAGGCGGTGACTGAGGGGCCAGCTGTTTTCCCCCGAGTTGCACCGACATTTAGCGTTGACCGAGCGGATGAGCAGCGACTGGTGCGAGTCCAGGACCAGGCTCTGGGTGTCGGGATGTAGACAGACCAAGTCCAGCACCTCCACCGCCTGGATCTCCCGGCTCGGGAAGTTAATGTCCAACTCCAGGTGGAAATGCTGGATCTGGAAATGCTGAAAGTTGGAGGCAGAGGCGATGTCGACAGGGCAGTCCCGGGACGAATTCAAACTCTCGCTTTTAGCCGAGCCGGTCACAACTTTCCGGCAGCAGCAGAAAGTTGGCCGCTCGAAGGCAGCAGCCATGGTCCAGCCAGAGGAATACAAACAGAAAAAAAACAGAAAGGTAGTGGGGGGGAAATTAAAATATAATAAATCACCAAAGTCAAACTTGGGAACACGGAAAAGATGGCGTCGATCAACTCAACTACGTGAAATCCATCAGATCCCGGGGTCCCAGAAACAAAAACAAACGAGAAAAGCAGCAGAAACTCTGAGGGACAAAATAGGGAGCCCGAGCGCCGGCAAAAACAGGAAGTAAAGGCTCCGGGCTGAGAGACTGCAGCTAGCAGGGCAACAACTGGAGGGCGCCATAGAGGGCGCATGGCGGCCTGGGACTGGGCCTGGACAGGCCAAGTCATGCTAGGCCGAGGAAGGGCAAAGGCCAGCAAGGTCAAGACCACCCGAAAGGCCAACCTTTCAGAGAAGAAGACGGCAGTGTTTCAACAATTGGTGGGTCATCCACTTTAAAACCAATCAGATAAGTTGAAGCGTAGAGCCCACCCCAACCTTAAATTTACCTGGACCATCTCTAACACCTCTCTCCCCTTCCTGGACCTCTCTGTCTCCATATCGGGCAACCACCTCGAAACCGATATTCATTTCAAGCCCACCGACTCCCACAGCTACCTAGAATACTCCTCCTCCCACCCACCTTCCTGCAAAAATGCTATCCCCTATTCCCAATTCCTTCGCCTCCGCCGCATCTGCTCCCAGGATGAGGCATTCCACTCCCGTACATCTCAGTTGTCCTCGTTTTTCAAGGACCGTAACTTCCCCTCCTCGGTGGTCGAGAACGCCCTCAACCGTGTCTCCCACATCTCCCGCACCTCATCCCTCACACCCCGTCCACGCAATAAGAACCAAAAAAGAATCCCCCTCGTCCTCACGTACCACCCCACCAACCTCCGGATCCAACGCATCATCCTCCGACACTTCCGCCATCTGCAATCCGACCCCACCACCAAAGACATCTTTCCCTCCCCACCTTTATCTGCTTTCCGGAGGGACAACTCTCTCCGTGACTCCCTTGTCCGCTCCACACTCCCCTCCAGCTCCACCACACCCGGCACTTTTCCCTGCAACCGCAGGAAGTGCTACACCTGCCCCCATACCTCCTCCCTCACCCCCATCCCAGGCCCCAAGAAGACTTTCCACATCAAGCAGATGTTCACCTGCACATCTGCCAATGTGGTATACTGCATCCGCTGTACCCGGTGTGGCTTCCTCTACATCGGGGAAACCAAGCGGAGACTCGGGGACCGCTTTGCAGAACACTTACGCTCGGTTCGCAACAAACAACTGCACCTCCCGGTCGCGAACCATTTCAACTCCCCCTCCCATTCCTCAGACGACATGTCCATCCTGGGCCTCCTGCAGTGCCACAACGATGCCACCCGAAGGTTGCAGGAACAGCAACTCATATTCCGCTTGGGAAACCTGCAGCCCAATGGTATCAATGTGGATTTCACAAGTTTCAAAATCTCCCCTCCCCCTACCGCATCCCAAAACCAGTCCAGCTCGTCCCTGCCTCCCTAACCTGTTCTTCCTCCCACCTATCCCCTCCTCCCACCTCAAGCCGCACCTCCATCTCCTACCGACCAACCTCATCCCGCCCCCTTGACCTGTCCGTCCTCCCTGGACTGACCTATCCCCTTCCTAACTCCCTACCTACACTCACCTTT